AGCTTTACTTTGTAGATTGTAGAGCTTTTCACGCTGCATCTTGTGATGTATTTTGTTTGTTTTAAATAAAAGATATCAGATGACAAAAAGATGAAAGAAGAAAAAATGAATTCATCTTGTATCAAAAAATATCGTTTTCGCACGGTCGCAAATTGGTCGCTCAAATTTTTGTTCATTTTGAAAACAAAAATTACAACTATAAAATAAGCTGTCTTATGTAAATTGTAGAGCTTTTCGCGCTGCATCTTGTGATGTATTTTCTTTCTTAATACAACGTATTAAGTAATGGAAAAATTTAATCTGTTTCACCCGTTAGTGAAGTTTTACACAAAAACAGTTTTTATCGAAATTTCATTATTATGATACCAGCTGAATAGGGATGAGATAGCACAGAAAAATAGAGCTTCGTTTTCTCTATCACCTCATAAAAACAGAAAATTTCATCAAGCCTTCTATACGAAATTGAGATGCGACCGCCACTACTTTTGGGTACCCCTAAGTAGTTAGACTACTGTTAACTATAAAAGCTGTCAGCCTGGTCTGCTACATCGAAGATGTCAGTCAGATCGCCACACTATCCGCTAGATCAGGTTGAATATTGAAATTCTAACCTGCAATTATCCTTCCATATAAAATTGAATCAGACCAAAGTTGTTGACCTATGTGTGATGTAATATTATTTATCCTACCCCTATAACTTGAAACACACAACAGCACTAAAAACTCATGCTTTTGTGAGGGTATCGGTGTAAATTATCTCTTCATACATAGTCACATTCACACTCTCAAGAACTTGCCATCATGTCATTTTAATGCTCAAATTCTAACTTCTCTAAATGATTACATTTCCTAATAATCTATTTGTGAAAGTATTGATTACATTTTGTAGACGAAAGCTGAATATTAATGATCGAATTCCAAAAAAATGAAATGGATAAAATTTTGCAATTGACGCTGTAGTTCTAAGAAGAACATAATATGTGAAGAAATCAGTGTTCATAGGAGAATTGTTAGTTGTTAGAAAGAAATCTTTGGAATTTTCTTTTTTGAGATTCTTAAAATTATGTATCTTAATAATAATATTTTTTTATTTGCAGAACGACTGAAACATCGACGAAGAGTTCAGGTGAGTATTACACAGTATGTTTCTACGTGTTGATCATCTGAATAGTCATTCGATGTCTAGGCAGACGATCATTCTTCACATTTCGTTTGAGAGTCATTAGTAACTATGTTCATATTTTTCTTCGATAAGAAACTAGGATGTTTTTGAACAGGAATACACTATTTGAAACTCACATATTCTTACACATTGATCCATAGAAACAAGAAGAAGAAAATATGCCAGTATCGATGATCTGATTTACGCTAAGAACAAAGATAGTTATCAGAAACATACATTGAGAATTGTACAAGAAAAATGCAAAAGTATAAAAACATCCATAAAGAACTACAATAACACATATGGAGATGGTTAGACGAAAGTAAAGAGAGAAAACACACAAAAAGCACGTGAGACTATACAATGACATACATAAAAAGTAGAAAACCGACGAAATTTAGAAAAAGTTACTAGCGATTGGATTGCACTTGTAAGATGTCTTTCACCGACCAATGCGTCACTGTGACATTCATCAAGCTGTTACTTCAGGACCACAAGCAGATATGATTCCAGTGACCATGATTACACTTCGCATTGACGGATCAATATTGTTTTTAAGACCATTTGAAGGATTCACAAGTGCATAGACCGCTATAAAAGTAATTCGTATAGGTCAACATACAATACGAATCATTAATATCTTCGGGTTAGCTGCTTTTCAACAGGAGTCTGAATTCCTCCAAGCATGAGTTGTTTTTGAACCCAAGTAAAAAGGTGTACAGTGACTCATGCTTGAATATTCTTGAGTTGATGCTTCACAGTAAATGAAAACACATCTGTTCATTACAGAAACATCGGAACCCGCATATTATTAGCCTCAGCTAATGCTGTCACTTCAATTCGGTGCTACTATAACTGTTGAATAATTAGTTCAAGTTTAATGACACGACAACAAGATCTGATGCTCCATGATCTAAAACGTGTTATATTAATAGTAATAACAATATCTGTTTGATAGTTTACTGAATTCAAATAATGTCCAAGGTCTCACAGATAGGTGATTGGACCGACTGTGAAGCATATGAGCCTCAGGATCCTAGATGACGCTTATCCGCAACTACAAGCTGCGCTAGACCATTTGCATGTGCAAAAACACTCTATCGTCGGGTAACTTCATGGAAAGAATTCCAATCAATCAAATCATTCAAGTTTTCAGCATGTAACTTAGTCCTCAACTTAAAGACTGAGAATGCGAGGTCAATATTTATGACATGTTCAGTTTTTTCTTACAAGTCTGATACATGAAATGTGTACCACTGTAAAGATGTAATCGAGATCCTTTCCTTATTTAGCACATCTTCAGCTATCTCCGAGAGAATTTTTCAAAAGAACTTTCTCAATAACTAAATCGAGAAATGTTTGCCAAATAAAATATTACTTTTTTCGATCTATGTGAAGAAAAATCACTTAAACCGATTAGATGAATTAGTTTCAGTCAAAGAATTTGAATCGGATGAATTACTTAGAGTCTCATTGTTTGAAAAAGTCATGTAAATCGATAAGTCCTCCATATGATTCATTGGATATTTTATTCTCTCGAACTGACTGTCTAGAAAGAAAACGTTGGATATTTTGAGTTACAGACATAATAAGTACTTGTTGATATTGTATTTTTTTCACGATACTCGTGTCGGAAAGATACTTCTTCATAATTATATGTACAAAATTTCTCATTGAAACAGGACAAAATACTAATTGGCCATTGATCTTGGGTTTGTCGTTGTTGGGCCTACTCCTGGCTGTATCTTGCTCTTTATGCTGGCTTTATAGGCTACTTTGGTAAGATTTCATCATTTTATTGACTTAAAACAGTTTCTGCAGTAGAACATGTCCTTGAAATATGGATTTCTACTCAAGGTGTGATTCTAATATGAGTGATGTTCAATTTCTTTACAGGAGCCCTGAAGCTCAACGCCGTCGTCGACAAGCGATTGTTGAAAACAGACGAAAATTTAATTCTCTTTTACATAGTACAAACGATATGCTAAGGACGACACCTGATGTTACTGAACAATTTCGAATGAAACAGCCAAAGAAAATTAGTCAAAGTTATACAATGTTTGACAATAGGAAAAGTGCTCAAAGTTCTAGATCAGCCATGCTACATAAGAGAAGTAATGTTATACTGCCGAACACTGACTTGAATACGAGCCAAATCAGTTTCGCGAACGTACATGTTGTTAAAAAGCCGATAGAAACTGGAAGTGCAGTTACTAGACCTCCGACTATTGAAAACATCAATAAAAATGCTTTAGCTGACAGTCGATCAGGGGTTCGTGTTCGTCGTGTGAGTAAAATGCTTAATTTGGAAGAAAACAGCAAAAATGAGAATATACAAACGACGATAAGCGATGAGCAGAAGCCGAGATCTTCTTCGATGTCATCTATGAATGCTAGCCGAGTGAGTGTAACAAAAGTACGACGAAAAAGCACCACCAAAATTATTACCATTAACTCATCCCAGCACCGTGCCCGTGGGGAACAAAAAAGTGGTGAAACGCCTCCAAACTTGCAAAATGTTGCTGACCCAATAAATACCAGTAATGCAATAGAAAATTTAATTGATGTTAACTCCTCAATAAATTTTCCATCCCAGAAGACGAGCGCGAGCAGTGTCAAGGTTATTAAGATTAAACGACCATCAGGCACAGTGCTGCCAGCGAATGGCAATCCAAGACCGATATCATTACCGGTGAACAATCAAAATAGTTCATCCACTGGAATAACTGTTACCAAGATTCAGCGTGCCAAAACTTGAGTGAAAACTTATACATCATAATCAACTTGTAGTGTTTCGCTCGTCTCACTAAACATTAATGCCGAACTTAAACGGTTCTATCGAACCTTATTGAAATAAATTTATAATTTGTTCGTGAATATATAATCCTAACTATCGAACTTTCATCCTTGTTTCCTTTCTTTAATTAACTAACTATTTCAATTTTTTTTTGTCTTTATGCATTGATTTCAGTTTTTTTTTCCTATTAAGTTTTCTCTGCTGTGTGGTTTGCGTGTTTTTCTTTCTATCTTTCTCAACAACTTTCTCACAATTATTGCGTGCATACTTTTAAATTATATTTCATAACAAATTAAATGGTACGATTTATCAATGAACCCACCATACGTTTGATGTGCAGTCATCAAATCATGGTTCTCTTTTTGATAGTCGGTCTATTATTTTCTAAAGCGCTTACTGATATGTTTCGGAAGAATTTCAACTTTTCATTAAGAAAGTTTACTGAACAATGTATATGTTATAGGAGAAACTGGTCAATCAGTCATGGACATGATTCTCGAAATAATATTAAGTAAAGAATATACAACAGTTTCCATCACAGCAATACATTGAATCACTTACCCGCGCTCAAAAATGATTATTTTACTTTCCTCAGAATAATCGATATGATATCATCAATGAACTAATTAGTACAGACATCACTTTATGTATATAGGAAAAGTACTATCTGTGATACAAATGACTGCAGCATCTTCATGACTAAGTCTGTTACTTTGTCGAAAAATAACGGGAGCGGTAGGAAGACGTGAGTATGTGGAAAACGTAATCTTCTCTTCATTCAGACCTCATCTAAAACGACGCATTATAGATATTATCTCTAAGTATAAACCATAATACATGGAATATTAAGACTTATTAATACATTTAAGGCATTAGTTACAATAATGCATGATAGTGTATTAAAATAAATAATGTAACATAACGCGATAAAAGACAAGGCACCTAGAAAGACGCATCGATCTACCTCGGAATTCCCAAAAGAAAGTATATATATATATATTCGATGCAGAATGAGCCAGCGTATTGTTTGATGTCAAATTCAATCTATTTGAGAAGCGATTTGATGGTCTTCAACGTAAATTACTGTGACATTGCATCCAGACAGCTATATATTGACAGTAAATTTGTCAAAGCGTTTATTTACCTGACTGTAAATAGTCTCATTTGGAAGAGTAGCGCATTCTACACAAATTCTTAAATGAACTACCTGGAAATAGGACACATAAGCTGAATTTATGATAAGCAAGCAATGTTTCTATCGATATTTAAGGCATATCATGAAGATTCAGGCTTCTCAATCGCTTTAAAAACGGCTCTATGGTAGGCATTCCTCTATAGGATTCAACACAGTTTTTGCCGTGCTACACATACTGGTATAGTTTTCTTCTCATTATTTTATTGATCAAAATTTTCTGAGAGCAAATACTACCTGAAATTGTTGTTACTTGTGTGTGCATGCCGGTTTAGAAGTCCGTGTGGGTGAAGAGAAGACGAACACCCACACTCTACTCAAGAAAAATATATTATGGTAACCTGCGTCGGTGGTCATCGAATCGCTTTCCAAATAAATTCTATTTGACATCAAACAATGCGTCGCCTTCTTCTCCATTGAAATATACACTTCTTTTGAATATTCCATGATGGATCGATTTGTCTTCTTATGCATGCCTGTCCTTTTAGTTGCTTTCATCATATATATTCTAAGAAAAACTTGGAAATAAAAAGTGAGCGTCGATTAAATTTTTTCATCATAACAGTTTATGTATAAATGATCAGTTGAAGAAAAAATATCGATTGTTATGAAGAAGAATGCAAAGATAAATTAACAATATCATCTACCTAATTAACGTTTTTTGTATCGCTAGAAACTGAACCGATCAATACAGGAGCACACGGCTGAGTAAGAATTCTGTCATTATCATCAACAATTTGTAATTGAATATCTTTGTTGATAGTTCGTTGCAATTCTATAAATTTTTCGTTCAAATGTTTAATGATTTGATTAATTAATTGATTATCAATAGTGGCATCATTGAATGAAATAGAGAAATTGAGTTTGGATCGTACTGATGATTGCAGTGATTTTTCTTGATCGAATTTTTTTCCACGATTTAAATTTAATATTTGTTCAACTGATTGCTCGCCTACTAATTGTCTATTGCTTGAGAATGCTTCAGTTATATTTTGTTCCTCATCTTCATTTTCATAACTTGCATCAGTGAATTCGTTTGATGACATTTGTTGACAGGAAGAATACATCTTTCGATTAAAGACACGTTGGTAACGATCAACCAGAACTGAAACAAACATACCAATAATTGCTGCACCAGATAAAGCACATAAGCTAGCTATTATACCACCAGCAACTGTGATCGGATATATATCTCCATAGCTATTGAAATTGATTAAAATAGTTTTGTGACGAAAACTATCACTGTACTCACCCGACAGTTGTAATTGTGATAACTCCCCAATAGGTTGCTTTCGGAATTGAATCGAACATTTCTGAATTCTTTTCGCTTTCGACAACGTAAGCTGCTGCTCCGAATAAAAATGCTAAAAAAATTAAACCGGAAAGTGCTCCAACAAAATCGATCAAAGATTCTTTCAAAGTTATACTGAGAACACGCATTGTTTTCAAGTGTTTTAGAACCAGATACAGTTTTAATATACGCAATAAACGTATCGCACGTAAGACGTTTGCACGAACTGAACCATCCTGATTTATATATATATATGTATCATGTAACAGAAAACCCAAATCGACAAAGTAAGGAACAATAGCTGCTAAATCAATATAAGTAAAAAACGACAAGAAAAAGCGTTTATACGATGGAGTGCTAATGAAACGAAGAAAAAATTCAATTGTAAAATACGCAACACAAATAGTTTGAATGATAAAAAATGGTGAATAGAATATTGCTGTGCAACTTGAATCAAACGTCGAGTTGAGAGAAATATTTTCTTGCTTGAGACAATAATTCACCAAACGACGCTTGTAAGTTGGTAAAGTTTGAACAGCCAATGTGATACAAGAGAGAATAGTTAAAGTCATCGCAATGATATTGATTAGTCGAGCCAATGTCGAAGATTGAGGACATTCTAGAAGGCACCAAATAGCTTTACGCCAATGCATTTTTGGCATTGGCTTCCTTTTTAATTCGCTTAAATTTTCCGATTCTCTCACTTTGGCATGTGCGGTTGAGCCTAATTGAAAAAATGAAATCTCCTCGAAAAATGTATCCAAGGGAATAGTCTCTGGTCGACGAAGGCGTCCATTTGATTGATAGTAATATAGAATACTTTCGAAGCAAGCCCGATGCCTATCAAAAAAGTATTCATTCCGTTCTTTATTCCAATAATTGTTCCGTTTACGTTCGTTACCCAAAAGTGTTTCGGGAAAATTGTTGAGAGTGGATAGACACGTTTCAAATCGACGTCCACTAACATTGATTGTGACAATTGGAGATCGATTAATATTTGATTCTTTCGTTAAATCATTACAGGATTTGAATGAATATTCTGAAACTATATCATCATCTTGAGTGAATATCTTTGGACTTAAAAGAATGAACGAAGATTTACTGAGATGTATTTGGAAAAATCTCTATCAACGTACTAACTTGCATTGTATTTTTCTGTTTCTGTATGCTTCAGAATATTATTTGTGGAGCTTGAATGTATCTGACTACTAGAATATCGAATAAAATAATATATTGCAAACATTATCCCAATGAAAACGTACTTGACAAAACTAGATAGTGCAATTTCTTCAGGATCATAAGTAGAAGGAGTAATATCCATAACTGTGCCTTTTCTAAAGAATTTTTGTCTTTCTCGACTGGGTACACGACTTTGATGTTTGTTTTGTATTGCTTAAGTAAAATGTGCATCGACTAAATCGATAGTTACACATGAATGACTATGTTTACAGGAAAAAAGATAAGTTTTTTTTTTCTTGTTAACGGTATTTACCAAGCGAATACAGTATTTCGCTTGAGCATACACAAAAACAAGCCAGTCACCCGTGATTTTTCGTTCTTCAACTAATTTTTTTTTGTGTCGACTTTATATACAAAGTCGCTGCATTCAATTTTGTATGAACAAGAGATACATTGAGAGAGCTGATAGACCACATAAGTACGATCAAATACGTATGAAGACGAATTTTTGCTAGTTGGTTTCCTTATGAATGGCGTTCACGTGGCTTAGGCCGTTGTGATGAATGTTGATCTGAGTATGCGTGAATAGAAAACCTTCTCCAACAACGGCACTCACACCCTTCTTTATCTATGATTACACTGAAGTTCACTCACTACAGGACGACAATTGAAGAGGAAAAACACGTTCTTTCATCATTCCAAACATTTTCTTGTTGGAAGAAATTCGCAAGTTCCGCAAATAGCAATTTCATCAAATTGGAATGTGCGATTGTGGATGTCAATGGAAGGGTAGATTAGCACGGGTTTAACGAAGAACAGACTAGTCTGATCCTTCCATATTCTCACCAACAACACACCTGCACAAATCCACTCACACTCAAACATTGATCCGATTATGCTGTTCGATGATATCAAATATATATATAACTGTATGTTTTATACGAAAGTTTGCCATGTAATCTTGATAACTTGATAGAACTAATATCTTCATAAATTTTATTTTGCTGTTCATTATTTTTCTTTTCCATATTACCACGAGAAGTACATAGCTGAAAAATAAATCATATTCATGCTGACTTGAAGGTAATCAATATATTGAAATAATTAGATATCATTTTTCTACTTTTAACTCATATATATTTACTTATTATCGAAGTATCAGATTTTGCCACATTTCGTTGAAACTATCGCTTAGAAAAACACAAAACGTGCCATTTACTTGTTATACAAAATTCAAGACTCTTTTTTATTAAATTTTTATAGCTTCGACATATTTCAACAGTAATGGAAAATGTTCAACTTAAAAATCATTAATCAATATATAAATGCGATGACTTCCAGATGATGTTGTAAGTTTCTGTAAAAGTAGATTTTCATCGTTGGCGTATTACATTTTTGAAAATACTATATATATACACCAAGCAGATCAAAGAAACTCTGTACATCTCTCTTTTAATATTATTAGAAGAAATAATCGTTCTAATCTTAACTTACCGGATGATCTAAAATGTTTTTAAGAAATCTCTCATCAAAATCCCATGCTAAAATCTGATCAAAGATTTGAAACTGCATTGGATAAATAAACTGTCTTGCATTATAGGTCACGGATTTGAATATATAACTTTTTCTGTATCCTGACGAACTCTATTTAGTTAACATATAAAATCGAACGAGTATCATCATTTAGAAATATTCATTATATTTCGAAAAACAAAATTGAACTATGAAAACAGATAACTTTCACCAGTGACCTGCAGTGAAGCATCATCATAGTAGAATAAAAATTCTTTCAAATAAAAGTACAAAAATATTCATCGAAAAATACAAGAATAATGATTTTTACTTGCATTACTTATACGTCATCTACCTCTAGAGGATGAGGATGTAAAAGAGAGAATATTCTTTTTAACTTATACGCTTTCCTCATATTCTTCCTCAACATAGAAGATCGTTACTTGAAAATTCTTTATTTCATGTTAACATATAATTGCTAAGAGATGAAAACTTGCTCGTCAATTAATTCATTTATTGAATATGATTGTGAAAGTAATTTTTCATAACAAAATAGTTCATATTTTATTTATTTCGTTTTTGTCTTCTTTTAACACATAAACATTCATCATACAATTATATATCGCCTAGAACGACGTACAAAAATAGAGTTTATACCAACATACGAAAAAAAAAATAATACAGACACACAAGTACAAAGAAGAAACCAAACAGATCTATTATAGTTTCTCTTATAACAAAAAAAAAAGAAAATAGATCTAGATTTGTGATACACACAAACACACATATTTTTATTCTTTCTTGACTTTAATATACAACCGGTTAAGATAATTAAATATCTTGTTGATAATATTAAGATAAACAATAGTAGAAGTAAATATTTGAGATTGAATATATATATGAAAAATCCTATTTACATGGAAAAGATAACATTTGACTTCTGATTATTATATGTGAATATATATACAATTCGAGAATATCTTATTTAAGATGCATGATTGATAATTAGAAATATGACTAGTCTGAGGACGGAGAATCATTGCTATTATTCTCATTTTCTTCTTCATCTTCATTTTTTTCTATATCACTATCTTCATTATGATTATTTGTCATTTGATCATCATCTGATGAGGATGTTATAGATTTTTCTATACGAGTTCGTCGACGTGTATTTTGATTGTTATCGATATTTTTTATTGGTGATGGATCTGATCGTCGTAATCGTTTTGAACGTCGCTGTGCTGTTGTTGTTTTTTCTTCTTCATTACTTTCTTCTTCTTCTTCTTCTTCATCTTCATCAATTTCACGATAATTTTTACGTGCACCTATATTTCAAAAAAAAAGAAGAATTTATTGACTATCTCTCTCGCTACTGATACCATACAAGATAAAAAATAACAAAAATTTCAAGTTTTCGTTTCGAAATAGTATATCCGTTAAAACAAAAGACTAAATGAATTGAGAAATCTTCTCGTTCTTTTTTTCGTTTTGAATCAAGAAAAAAATACTTATTAGAATTGAAATACTTCTTCAAAATTGTCTCATAGGACATGATTTATTTATGCTCAAAGATGTTCTGCGAGAAAGTATAAGTTGATGTCACGATAGTCTTCATTTCATCGAAGAAACAGAATTGAGAATCATTCGTTACGATAAATTTGTTCTATGGAATAGGCCAAACAAGATCTTCAAAGACTTTCTATTTACTGCGCAAATTAATCACTAAGACATTATGAAAAAGCTTATAAGAACAGCCCCTCATTGCGACTAAAATGTCAAATAAGAGACATACTAAAGTCAATTATTCGTTGAATTAGAACTGAAGCACATACATATGTGCTTCTCGTCTCGAAAGAGTTATCATCTTGAATATAACTTTTTATTTGGAGAAAAATCAAAAGTTGCATTATTTAGAATATTTATATAAGTATACGAGACATTCAAAATTCGAGAAAATTTTTGGAATATTCTAGAACCAACTAGAATTTTTGCTCATAGGTAGATCTTGTGCACTTTAGGATACTGTTCACATTTCAGTCTCATTAGATACGTTCTTCTTGAGATATTGAAGATCCAAAAAGAATCATATGTCATAATGAAAGCCCAGTGTTTTCAACATTCGAAATCTGAAGAACAACACACTTTTTAGGTTGCAATTTCATAATCCAAATTTTTCACAAATATCATACTAAAGATTTTACAAAAAGTTCAGTAAAATTGTTGTAACTTGAGAAGAACACTGGATGAAGACGAATCCTTATATACTTCTATTTACTTCATCGGAGTCCACTTATGAGCATAATCTCAGTGTCATTCACAAGTCAAACTTGAGGACCTCTCCTCGTAAGTCTTATTGTTAATATCGTTCAACACATTTGTCTGTTGCTAAGAAATTCTGGACAAGAAATCTGACGTTTGTTGTCATCGCTTGCGAAGCAAACATATCCAATGATTGTCAATTTTCTTTCTTTTCTCCAGTTACTATGGGCGAGGAGGTTCAGAAAACCTCAAGTTAAAACTTACATTTACTATATTTTTCTTCGAAAAATATAATATGAGTTTCCCGAAAATAATTTAATCATTATCTCATAAGATAGAATTTCTTCGAAATAAAAAGATATCTTACTTCGACGTGTTTCATTATGTTTTTGTGATTTTATTCGATTTTTTTCTTTCGATTTTTTAATTTGTTTTTTTGTTTTCGATTGACGTGATGAATGATTTATTTCATTATTATGTCCATTTCGACAATTATTACATATCCATGTTGTTGATCTTGGTGGACATCTCAATGGTGGTTCATGACATTGACAATGATAATATTGATGACATTGTGTACATTGAATTAAATCATTTTCTACACTACAAATAGAACATATATGATCTTCATCATCAGCACTATTATCATCATTTTCATTATCATCATCATTATCAGTATTAGAATCGGTTACATCGTGATTATTACGTTCATGACTACTTGTATTTGATGTTGTTTCAACTTCCATATCATCATCATAAATATCAGTTTCATAATGATCAATTTTTTGTTTAACTTGTTTAACACGTCGTTTTGTTGTTGATGATGGACGACATGCTGGACAATACCATAAATCATTTGTTGAATTAGTTATATTATCTGAATAATCACGTAAACATTCTTGATGAAAACCATAACAACATTGATCACAAACAATAATATATTCATCTTTATGTTTTTTTCGACATATTTTACATTTAATACCAAGTGTTGATTTATTCCATGTTATAGAATTTTCAAATATCATCATTAAAACATATAAACGTGAATATGTTTTACATGTTCGACAATCATTTATCCATATTTGTAAAGATTTTTTATCAGGTAAATTAAATATACCTATAGCATATTTGTCAGCAACAGTTTGTTGTAATTGTATAAGTAATTCAGCAAGATCAATACGTTCAATTGATTGTTTTAATTTTATTTGCCATTCATTAAGATTTTCATTTATAATAAAACCACCTAATGAACCAAGACGTAAACGTGTTTCAATATCTTCAAGTTCACTTTTAAATGATGATATTATATCATAAGATGTTTCAATATTTTCATCTTGTTGTTCAATAGAATTTTTAGATTTTTTTGTTTGTTCAAATTCATTATGAATAAATGGCATAACTTTTTTAAGATTGACAAATAAATTATGTTCACGTATGCCACGATCATTTAATGATTGTAATAATTGTTGAATTATATTTTCATCATCATAAAGAAACCATTGATTTCCTTCATCTTTAGGTATTAATTTTTCATCAGTCATAGAAAATGATATATCTTGTGATGATGATTGAACAGAATAATTTATATCTGAACCAATCCAACCTAATCATAAACAAAACAAAATAATATGTTTTTGAAAGATAATATGAACGAAAGAAATAATTAATTATCTAATCATGTCCATGAGTCCTTTCATGAAATACGATCTAAAAGGAGTTTTCAAATATAGGGATAAAAATTTCAACCCATCGGCCGTACCAAACATTGTTGATGTACGATTAAATCTACATCATGTTTCATATTTTAGTACCACAGGGATTGCACTAAGAGTTTTCTTAAACTTTTTGAGTGATATATTTCAATTGAGAGAGAAATAGCAGACTTCAAGAGTGAAGTCTCTGCTGCTTTCCATTTGATATAAATAAAATATCGCGCTCCTGTTCAAATAATTTTCAAAAGCTTTTTTTCCAATGTTAACCTCAAAGTTTTCTCAAAACAAGTGTTCAATTACACTGATTCCGTGTAAAAGTCTTAGATTTTCTAGTATCTTCGTTTCTCAGACATCAGCATGGAAAATTCTATTATGAGAAATACTAAACTTTGATCCTATATACACAGTGAAGGAGAATAGTTTAGAGCATTTGTATTTTCTACTCGATTGAAATAGCTAGAAAGAATCTGAAAAAACATTTCAGTGGCTAAAAGGATTCTCTATTAGGATTTGTTGACTTAAAACCTTCAATAAAATTACTTTGATGAGAATGTCTGGATAGCCCAGACCCTCGGAAACCAGTTTTCTGACATAGATTTTAAGTTTTTTTCGAAATGGCTATATTTGATAGAACAAAATGAGATGCCGTGGTTTGATGAAGAGAACCAAGACATCTCATTTTTGTGTACTCAAAAAGTGAGTACACTCTAGAATCGGTCAGTGTGTCCGGCCGTCCGTCCGTTTACACGATAACTTTCGAAAGGAGAGTCCAATCGCGATGAAATTTTC